CCTGGGAAAACCGCTGTGATTCCCACTGCCTCTGGTTGTAAAGAAGAAGCGCTGCTGTGTTTGACGGGGAGCAGTGGCCCTGGGAAGGATGGGAGCTGGGGAGAGACCTGCGGAGCCTGGCGAGCGGGCCGGGGGGTTGGTCTTCAACCTGACTGCAGGAAGACCTCACTCGAGGTCTTCTGGTGCCCACCAGAAAGGTTGCACAGCCCAGCTCTGGGAAAGGGCCACTTTTCCTTTCCATTTTCCATGGGAGTCAGGCAGGTGGGTTACTGCCCACTGGTTTACTGTTTTCCTTTCTGTTCCACAGCAAAGCGTCGGGAAACAGCTATTGAGATTGCAAAGTCAACCAACCAACTCTTCAGGAATTTCAGGGCTGCTCTCATCCGTGGTACTACCATTCATCCCCATTCACCCTCTGCTCTCTCCCCCCTACATAAACAGGTTCCACAAGTAACGGGAAATTTGACATTTTTACACCATGAATGTGCTTTTCATCACTAGGGATTTTTAATATTTTTCAAATAATCTGTTTTCACTCAACAAACTGAAACAAAAAACTTCCAAGCTGTGGCCCCAGACTTTTTTTTTCACTTGAGCTGATGCTCCAGCTTGCTGTGAGCAGAAAGAAGTTATCCCACTGGGGTCAAGGAAATGTTAGTGCCTTTAAAATAGTCACAACGATCTCTCGCCGTGAGAAGCACCAGGAAGGTGTGGACACGGGGACAGTTGCCAGTCTCTCGAGTCGAACTCCACCTACCTGTTACAAAGCCAATGTTTGCTCGTAACAGTGGCCACAAGTCCAAAACGATGCTTCCCCCATGCAAAAATATATGGCTCTGCCCTAATTTCACCTGGACACAGCAGAGTGGGGGTGGAGCTTGGTGGCTGCAGCCCCACAACATGCGCTGCAGAAAACAGGCTGATTTTTCAGCATGTCCCAGCATGGCAATGTCCTTCAACAGGGCTTGGAGGAGCACCAAGTTTCAGAGCGGTGGTGGTACGCTCCGGGCGGTGCTGTCCCCCTGACCAGGGGCTCCCGGCTCCCCCCAGCCCAGCGCAGCACCCAGGTACCAGGAACTGTCCCACCTGATAAGCAGAGATACTCCCAGCCTGCCCAGCCGCTGGCTAATATTTATGGAAATATGTTTGCACTGCATTGGAGATTCGTGGGCTCTGACCTTGATCGCCCTTTGTTTCTGTCAGATGTGTTCTGCCAAATCCCTTCTGAAATCTCATTTATTCACAGAAGCTCCCTAACCCAGCGGGCACCCCACCTCACTGGCGATCGCCGCCATTCATGGCGTTTCTCTGCCTCTCCCCTGCTTTCCCCCACGTCCCCGCAGCCCCCCCGGACCCCTGGGTCCCTGCCCTGGTGTGGCCCCAGCCCAGGAGGGCTCAGCAGCCGCTGTGCACAATGTAACACTGCTAGGATGTTGACAGCGGGCAAAGTCATTCTCTCTCCAAGAAAAACATCTTTTTTCCTGATTATTTTTTCCTAAATATTCCCGTTTCTCAATGAAAATCGCATCTCTCCTATTTTCTTTCCCTGTCTGCCATTCCTCCTCTTTCCTTCCTCTTTCCTTCCTCTTTTCCCATAGCAAAAAAGACAACAGTAGAAAAAAATAATCCACTGTATTAAGAATATTCTGTTTGTTCCCCGTCACCAACACAAAAAATAACATGTCTTCTCCCAATGAGCCAGCCCTTCCTCTCCCCCGTCCCTGCACCCTGTGCCATCGGTCTTCCTAACATCGCATCTTCTGCCACCTCTTTGCCTACTCTTGTCTACCCATCTCTGCTTCTCTTCTCTTCAGCTCCCTGCACCCCACCTGCAGTGTCCTGGCTTCCAAAAACTGATGGGGGGGGGGAAAAAAACCGTAATGAGGAAATAAAGGGACAGAAACAGCAGTGAAGAACCATGTTATGTAAATGTAGACCTGGCCCATGGGGCAGGGCGAAGTGTGTCGAGGCCAGTGGCATGGAGGGTGCTCCGGATGACGATGCCGAAGGGATAAGGAAACGTAGAGGTGATGGTGGCTTTGGTTTTTCCCCATCAAGGTACAGCTACTTTGCTCAAACGAGGGGCTCTGGCTTCTGATGCCCCAGGGATGGGCTGGAGCCAGGAACAGGGTCTGGCACACAGCAAATCCACCCTCGCTCTCCAGCTCTCATCCTGCCATGGGAATTTCTGTGCTGATTTAAACCTGCTCTGACTTGGTATTCGCCTGCATAATGGGAGCAGCAGCCTCCTCCCTTGCACAGGCGCTGGGAGGCTTAATTCCATCTAAGGGCAATGCTGGGGCATCCCAGGACAAGAGACACACTGAAGGGGATGGCCACCTGCACCCGTATTTTCCTTATTCACTTCTGAGCTGTAGTGGAAGACACCAATCCCATAGCTCTCAGCGAGCCATAGCTCATGTATTTTCAGCAGCTCAACATTTTTTCATGAGGATGCCTTAAAAAAATCCCAAGGCTCAAGGTACGTTTTTAGAGGAAAAGTCTAACCAACATCTAAACATTTTACCTTGGATTGTTTGTCATCTGACACTGTACTCAAACCAAAAGACATGGCAGCCAAGGCAGGAAATAGCTGCGCATGCAAAAACTGGTATGAACTACAGCAAAGAGCAGCAGCATGGAGAGAGGCTCCTGGCTCCAGCATTTGCATGAGCAACGTCAGCCCTGGAACAAAGACAAATCCTCTACCTGCCTCCTCTGCAGCGCTCAGGCAGGGCTCGCTCCCTCGCTTCCCACTGCTACCCATGCAGCAACAAACCCCCTCTTTTTCGGTGTGTTAGCAAACAAGTCCCTTTCTTGATCTGGCAGCTTCCTGCTGCGAACACCCTCCTGCAGGTGGTTGGCTTTTGGGCAGGGCTGTAGCACATCCCGCACCCTGCTCTGTCAGGAAGCGATGCCCGGAGCATGGCCGGCTTCATGGGGCCACCACTGGGTGGGCTATAGCTCGACCGGCACATGGGCAGGAGGCATTAACCACATGGGTTTAACGATGTCTGGTCATCTGTCTCCAGGATTTTATTGTGTTCTCATGTGCATGAGCTGCTCCCATTAATTCTAACAGGAGTCAAATGTGTGCTACGATCTTAAAGGACTTTTCCAACCTAAGCGATTCTCTGGGATGAAGGCTGCCATCCTGGGCTGGTGCTGGAGTAAGGGGAGACTTGATTAGGGCATCCAAAAAAAAAGAGGGGCTAGAAGGTGTTGCCTTTCAGCGGGAGAAGCCTGATGCTGTGGAAAAAAAGTCTTTGACAACAGGGTATGGCAGGATTTAATTTTGACCTGAAATTGCAATGCAGTTCGCTCCCTGATCTACTTCCCTTGCTGCTGGGACCTCTGAAGATATATTACAGCTCCAAGGGTTCCTGCTCAAAACTAAACAGTTTCAATTCACTATCGGCTGGAAAATTCTGGGTTCACTGGATTTTTTATTTTCGTGGTAAGGGGCAAACAAATCTTAATCTCTCTATTCTACGTTTACAGCCCACTAAGCCCCTTTCTTATCTTCTCTGGCTCAGTCCTGATTTATTGTCACAATGCTGCATTTGTAAAACAGTACCATAAAGTAAGAAAGAGAACATTTCCCAAGGACTACTCCAAAATAAATTATTTCAGACGTACAGAAGCTGCTTAATAAATCCCACTATTCTTGTTTCTTTAGGTATTTTAGAAAGTGATTTATAAGTGCAATATCACCTCTCAAAAATGAGACAATCAACACAGGATAAAATTATCGTGTTATGAAAATAGGGGTCAGGCAAAGGGGCTGTGCTTTAAATTAAACCGGGGAAAAATATTTCACTGAAACGGACTCTTTTTGTCTCAGAAATGAATCTTTTAATCACCTAAGAACCGAAAAGCTAACACAGAGGCCTAAGTAATATTTAATTTCACAGAAATATGCCTGTGTTCAATATTGATGGGCAGAACACGATATTTTTCTTAAACACACCAACAATGAAACTTGCAGACGCATCAAGCCTTGGGATTTTCCTAGACTAAGAGATAATATCCCATTTAAATATTTAAATATCACTACCTTTCAGACTGTTATCTATTCAAGCAATCAACACTGAATGTTCTCCAGCTAGCACAGTGGCAGACTCACAGGCATGCTATTTAAGTAAAATTAACTCTGTTTGATATTGATGCCTTCCAACGGCATCCATGAAAATCAATGATCTTAGAGAGAACCGATGTAGAAAACTAACCATAGGGCTAAATCTGCTGAGGAAAATATTATTAAACAGCAATGGTATTAATTCAATACCACTGTCAAAATTAAGTCACAACCTTTCCTCGGTGCTGCTGATACAGAAGCATCGTAAGGTCTAATTAGCCCTGGAGTTTCCTCCCAGAGCCGCACTTCACTTCATTATCCCTGCCTTATTTATCCCCACAGAGGAGTCATTTGAAACTTCGCAAGGTATCCCCTTGCCACGGCGCAAGCCAAGAGGCAATTTGAGTTTGCCAGTGCCAGAGGGATCTCATTGCCCTTGAAATCAATAGGACAGCTTTCCCTTCACAGAGCACCTGTGCTCCTCCTGCTGATGCCATTGGGGCCACAGGACGTGGGGGTGATGGGCTTGGGGCTTTTCCCAGCAGGAGAAAGGACGCAGGGCGTAGGGGCTATGAGTCAGGGGCTTTGGCTGGTCACCTTCACAGAGAGTTGGAGCATGTCCACTTTGTTGGTTCAGTGAGGATATTACGTATCCAGAGAAGAACAACCTTCCCCCCCTGCTCTTGAGCAGTTCATAGGGCTCAGGAAGACACCAAACTGGAAACATAAAATTGCCACCACAAGCATGGCCATGCCGGTGATGGCAGCGTCTGCCACCACACCCTGACCCTGGCATCACCAGTTCTTTCCAACCCCCAGTGCAAACATCTCATCGTTAACATCCTGCTACGTTCAGTTGAACTCGTAACACGACAGACCTAGAGGCTTTAAGAAACGATAGCGAGAGGGCAAAGTCACTGACCGTGGGTAGCTGGCTGGAGAGAAGATGCCCATCCTGACTCAACATGTTGGAGACCATGATGGCCGGCAGGTCCATGTTCTGGTAGGGATACGCTGGTATCAGGCTGTTTGGAGGGAGACTGTGGCACAGGGAGTGATATCCAGTTTCGTGGTCCACCAAGTGCAGGAGGGAAGGGTCGGGGAGATTAGGAGGCGTTATGGGAGGGATCTCATAGTCTTCGTTATTCTCATTCTGACTGCTATATGTCTGAAACATAAAAAAGACGTTTTGCAATGCGTCACTGCCTTGTTGCTTCAGCAAAGAAAAGCGATTTAAGAAATACAAAAGCACATTCCAGTGGAAATGGTTTTGTTTTAATAAAAAAAAGACATCTCCAGTCACCGACACCAGCAAGTCATGACTACGTAGGAACTGGGTGGTGAGTGTGGCAGCACTGCCCCATCCATCAGGGACGCTACAGGTCCTCGCACACCTCAGATCTGCCTGGGGCATCTGCACTGCTCCCCTCTCCCGTGCCGCATCCCTCCAGAACATCTTTAGCTCGCCAAAACCTCAGCAGAACCCCCCCCACCCGGATGGCAGCCGGGCAAGTGATGCTTGCAGAGCCCACAGCCATGGAAGGGCATGGCCATTTCCCAACCAGCTGCTGTATTTTTAAGGTGAAGTCCCTCTCTGGGCACCCAGCTCAGCTCTTACAGTATCTACAGTTTGTATTTTCAAGAATGTTTACGAGAATTAGCTCCATCGAATTAACTAGTACTTGGGAACAAAATTCCCGTTGATTCCTCACAAACTCCAGCACAGAAGCTGCAACCAGGGAGAGGGATTTGGAAACACAGCCACTGCATGTTTTTTAAATCCTTTAAAGAAAGCCCGTGTGACTCCACCACACGTGGAGATTTGTCCTTCCTTGTATCTGCATCCAAATGCTACTTGGGCAAGCGCTCCCTCACCTCCCTGTCAACGCTTCCTCACGGTGACCACGAACATGCAGAGACGGTGGCGCTTCCCATGTTTTCCCGTAGCTTGTTTCCTTCTAAGCATTCCAATTCATAGGGAGAAAGAATATGTTCGAGCACCTGTGCAATTGGTTTCACTTCAGGCAAAACCATATTTGCTTTGTAACGTAAGTGTGAATCTATCCAAAATTATTAATTATCAAAGCAGAATATAATGAGTCTCTGGCAGAGGAGGCTTATTCTAAACATCTACTGTTTCATGTGTTATTATAGCATATGAAATTCTGATTCGCCATAGTATTATACACATGGATTTTAAGCTAAATTTCTCAGATCACCCAGTTTCATGCTTGGATTTTGACTTAATACTTGTTTTAAGAGCGAAACGCCAGATGTGTGCAAAACCAGTTAAGCACTGTAGGCTTTATTAATCCATTGCCCCAGAGCTCACACTTGGATCCAGGCTCTTCATCACCCCAGACTGCAGGGAGAAAACCCTTAATAAAATAAAATAAACCCCTGTATTTAACCAGAACAGAGAAGCCAGTGGGAGGGGCAGTGGGGAGCAAGGAGGCAGCCGTGGATAGGCACTGCCTGGGAGGGACACGTCCCTGCGGGGTGTCGGGGCAGGGGCTCTCCCCGGCCTCGCCCCCCAGCCAGGGCTGGAACTGGCTCATCCCCTGCCAAGCTGGACCCCCCACCTCTCACCTCCCCTCGTCCCACTGCAAAAAGAGACAGAGAAAAGAGCAGGTACTGCACATCCCACTCGACCCTTCCCGTTTGCCGGAGATTCTTGCTGGCTGTGGGGAAATACGAGTATCCAAGAAATACAAGACAGAGCCTGGGCTGAGATAGCTCTGTACCAACAGTTATTGTTCCGGGGAAATTCAAGCCCAGCTATTTTTCCAGCCAGCTTCTGTCTAGCAGCGGTATTATACGGGGCGGGCAGGGGGCTGGGAGGATGTACACAACAGCGGACAGATAGATCCCATTTAATACCCCCAGTGGCGATCCCATTTAATACACCCAGTAGTTAGGTTTCCATGTGGGCTACACGCTTGGAGGTACACTGATTCTTTCCCAGTTATTTAAGAGGATTTTGCTCCGTGCTTTACGGGAAGGGATTTAAATAAATCATTGCACAGCAAACTTGTTCCTCCAACCGGTTTATTTTGGTATCAGGTATAGAAGAGTGTGGCTTTGCTGTACTTAACTAAATTATGTAAAACCCACTCAAAGTTTCCTAAAGCTCTCTTCAAAACTACGAGTTCCTTGTGTCGCTGCAGAGCCGCTCACCGAAGGGCTTTGAGGTGGTTTTGTATGGAGTGAGAAAGCCCTGTTGCCCTGCTCACCCCCCTGCGCATTTCTGCCTCTGCTCTATTCAGCCGGCGGGGGGGGGGGAAACCAGACCTGTTTAAATCACAAAGCTTTCCGAATAGCGACAGTATTGTGCAGACATATCAAAATTACAATCAAAGCTGTACACAATCAAAATCAGATTAGACAATATCCAATCAACATAATCAGACTCGGCGCCTGCCAGCTTTTACGCCCCATAGCTACGAACGATTTTCCAAAGCAAGCTGCGTTTATTCTATATATGTTTTAAATAGACGGCTAGTAAGATAAGGAAGGGAGATGAGACAGATAGACACTTGGAAGGGTGGGAAAGAGGGGCGATTTGTTGTCACACGCTGGGCCTATTGACACATCCGAGGTGACGTCTCCATCCCCACGAAGGGTGGTCTCACTGCGTGCGCAAAAGCCATCATCCTGCAACCAGCAACACCCGACAACCCCTTTCTACCACCATGTGGGCTACGCTGCAAATTATATTTTCTATTCTTATGTTAATTTGAATTAAATTAAACAGCCAATTATACGTTATAAGGATACATTACAAATTAGATTAGTGAGCTGCTCTGAACCCATTCATCCCTCCAGGACTCCAAACGTGAGTGCAGAGAAGCGCGCTCTGCTGAAAGCCTGCCCATTACGGTACACAAAAACCCCACGGAAGATCTAGGATTTTCCACTGTCAAACAGATGATAGTTGTTGTGATTACACATTATTCTGATTCAAATTAAACCACTGAAATCAGCTGAAACAACAAACCCCTTCTTGCAAACCCTCTCTCGGCTCACACCGCAGGGCAGTGCCTGGAGCGCCAAACCCCTGCACCTGCCTGCAGTGGGATGGAGCACGGGGATCGAGATGGGGGGGACAGTGCCTCTTCCCTGGCTCCCTCCTCACCCTTGGACCCCCAGGGCTGTGCTGCAGGGCCAGGCTCTGGGCATGGACTGAACTGCCCTGAGCATGGCACTGGGGCTATGCCCCAGGCTTGCACGGTGATGCCACAGGATGGCATTGCAGCAAACAAGGTGTGACCGTCCTCCAACAGCAGCACAATCATATTAAAAACAACTTTTCCATCTTGAAATCCAAGTTTGAACAGGGGCCTTGGACCGCCTCCATCCTCCTGCAGATGCAGGGGCAGAGAACAGGGGGGTGGCGGGGAGGTGGTACGGGGAGATGAAGAGATGCATCCACCTGGCTATGCTCATGCCACACAGCTTCTCCACCTCCTTTTCACCATGCCTTGCTGAGCCACAGCTCCCTTAAATCTGCGCCTTCAGCAGGGGGAAGCATGGAGGGGTCTGTAACGAGGAGAAGACTCTGGTTCCCAGCAAGAATCATGGAATTGTTTAGGTTGGAAAAGACCTTTAAGATCACCCAGCCCAACCATTCCCCTAACCCTGCCATCCCACCACTAAACCCTGACCCTAAGCACCTCCTCTGCCCGGCTTTTAAATACCCCCAGGGGTGGGGACTTGACCCCTTCCCTGGGCAGCCCCTTCCAGTGCCTGACAGCCCTTGCGGGGAAGGAATTTTTCCTAATGTCCAATCGAAATCTGCCCTGACACAACTTGAGGCCATTTCCCCCCATCCCATCGGCTGTTCCCTGGGAGAAGAGACCAAGACCCACCTCACTGCAACCTCCTGTCGGGTACTTGTAGAGGGCAATAAGGTCTCCCCTCAGGAGAGGTGGCACCCAGGCCATGTCCAGGACCAAAGGGAGTCAGAACAGGTAACCACAGTAGCAGCTGCTCCCCCCTAGCTCACAAGCACAGGGCTGGGGACATGCTATTTACATTCATTTGAGAGGAAAGTCAGAATTGCTGAACCCCTTGCGAGAGCACGGGGCGACCTGCACAGCAAGGTCCCATTCCTGGACCTGCAGGGGCACCAGCAGGCACAGCCTGTGCTCCCAAAGCACCAGTGGGTCTTGGAGACACCCCAGCATGGCCTCCTGCCAGCGGTGCTCCCCACCATGGGGAGGGTATGCCATGATCTGCCAGGCTTCCCTCGCTGCTGGATGCTTTTCAGATGAGGGAGACAGAGATGGATAGGAGACACCCAAACCCCCAGGATTTGCAGATGGACCACATGAGCCTAGTTGGGAAGGACACAGCAGCTTGTGCCACAGGAGAAGGCTGAGAGGGAGGACAGGGAAGTGCTGGGGCTGGAAAAGGGATAAGGAGCTGGCAGGAGCAAGTGCCCGGGGGTTGAATGAGCCAGCAAGAACAGAGGATGACACAGCAGAGCCCTGAAGGCTGGCCCTGGCTGACCAGGGGGAGCAGAGTGATTTGAGGATGAAGAGGGAGGGCTGCCCTTGCTTGCATGCTCCAGCAGCAATACTGTGCACACCCTGAGCAAAGCTGTGCCCACTGGCGCCCGGGTGGTTCTGCGGGTCTGTGGGTGCAGAAGAAGCAGGAGGTGCAGTTAAAGGGTGCCCCATATGGACATGGAGCTGAATCAAGAGTGTGGGTGGAGAACAAGAGCTTTACAGGGGAACAAGCTGGTCCCACTGTCATAGAATCATAGAATCACTTTGGTTGGAAAAGACCTTTGAGCTCATCGAGTCCAACCTTTAACCTAACCCTGACATCCCACCACTAAACCATGGCCCTAAGCACCTCATCTATCCTTCTTTTAAATACCTCCAGGGATGAGGACTCCACCACCTCCCTGGGCAGCCCATTCCAGAGCCTGACAACCCTTTC